AAACAACAAAAAACTGAAAATATTTTATTTTAAATTTTGGACTTAAGAATGTCAAAATGGGTAAGTACAGATTGAGGTTTCAGACTAAAATAATATAAGCACAGTTTGAAAATGTAGATACCGAACGCATATCTGTTGCAAAGCTATAATTTTCTATCAAGTGCCATGAAAATCCTCCAAAAGCTTTAAAATTTTTTTTTTTGCACACATAACCCTAAGCTAAGGCTTTAAGCGTCAATTCAAAATTTTGAGTATGTAGATTTTGTATACTCGACTAGAATTGCGATACGTGCAAACTTTAATAAAATGTTATAAAAATTTGTTTACTTTCGCCCATGATAAAAACAGAGTAAGGTAGAACCCAAGGCGAATTAATATAAGGTGATAGCAGGAGTACAAAAACAAAAATTTACATGTATTTTGTTTTTGCTTTGGCGGCATAAACTGTCAATATCTGTAAGAGTGTGTGTAGAAATTCAAACAAAATTTTTATATCAGAAGCCGTGCCACTTTATTCGCCTTGGTAGAACCGTTCTCTCAATTCGTCGGCCATGATATTTTCTGATGTTTGCCAGCATTTTAAAATCATATAAAACTGAAAACTAAAAAATTAAATTGTTCAAAATTGTTGTTGTTTGAGATTGGAAATGAGTAAATTATAATGCCCTTATTCATAAAAACTAAAGTAGGTTTATAAAAGGTTTATAAATGGAAAAATGTATGAAAACGTCAGTTTATAAAGCTCTTTAAACTTACTTTATTTTTTATGAATAAGGCCATAAAATTAAAATGCTTGAAGTCTTCTAAAATGCTAAAAGTGTCTCTCAGCGGATCTACCTTACTAAATTTTTATCATGCTTTCGCCTTATTGCATTTTAAAACTATTGGACCTTGAAATAATACATATACAAGGGGGGGAGGGGCAAATTGAGCTGCTGCCCACCCTTAGACTCATTTTCTTTTTTTTTATTCATTCGCGTTGTAACCGCCTAAGCGATTTCTGCCGAGTCCAAAAGAGCACGCCAGTTGTTTCTTTTTTTGTGCCAACTGACTTCAGTTGAAAATGCCAAGTAAAGCCAAGTCCTTTTCCACCTGGACATTCTAATGCAGTGGGGGCCTTCCTCTTACTCTGCTACCACCAGCGGATTTCGAGTTGAATACTTTCAGAGCTGGAGCGTCGCTGTCAATTCGAACGTCACGGCCAAGCCAGCATAGCCGCAGTATTTTCGCTCGCTACACTCTGTCTTTGTCGTTGCAAAGCTCATACAGCTCATCGTTCCATCGTCGTCTTTATTCGCCATCGGCAACGCAAAAAGGCTCGTAAATCTTCCGCAAAATCTTTCCCTCGAGAATACTCCAAGAGCCACATGATCGGAAGTTTTCATATCCATGCTTCTGCGCCATATATCAGCCCGGGCATGATGATGATTAATCTACATTTATCTTTATAAAAGCCTTCCGGAAATGGGCTAACATCACCTCTGAACTGAGCAGTATTAATCCATTTAGGTTTAGAGGTCTCTAGTGACACATATTTTAGCATGGACTGTCAAAAATAGTTTAAAATCGCATTTTGCTTACACCGCAGCCGTTATAATTATAACTTATTTAAATAAGTTAACTACATTGTAATAGTTTTTATGTGGACAGCTAATTATATTATATATATATATATATATCAGCGAAGTGATTGTAAGACAAGAGCAATTACATGCATATGTATGTATGTATATTTCGAAATAAATTAAAAAAGGAGGGTACTTGTAGCAAGTAAATGTTCAAAATAATTTAAATTACAAACGAGTGTAATGATTTTGTTATTACCTGTAAAATTATAATAATTTGAATTATAAAGAAGAGCTGCCAAAAATGCGAAAGGCAAAATGATGAATGTATGTACATCCAGATTGTATCTTTAAACTGGGTAACATCAGCGGCAACACTTTAGCGCAGAAAAAAGTGTATGTATGTATGTACTCGTTTTTGACCATCACTTATGTGTGTATTTTCTGCAACGCTTGGCTTGGTGCTAAACGTGTGAGGCTTATGTGACGTGTTATATGTATGTACATTAGTGTGCGCCTTACTTGTATGGAGAAAATTTGTTTGTAAGCTAGAAAGCAAGATTCCCCCTAAGTAGATTCGTTTGGTTATAAAAATGTGCTGTGCGAAAAATTTTCAAAATCGGATAACGGTGAGACGTGCCTCAAAAGCCCTAAAGTTACATACGCTAATTCATTAAATTTTACATAAAATAGAAAGAAGAGCTTAATAGATTTTTGCAGGCTGATCTCAAGTATGGTTATGTCAGGTTTGGAAGTTATATAGCCTTTACCAGTGTAGCTTTCTGGCGCTTGAGGCACCTCTTTCCCTTATTCGATTTGGAAAGTTTTTCGTAGAGCATGCAGTCTTGCTTTGAGGGTAAATGTTTAAAAATAAGGCTCACACTAATGTACATGTATGTAATTATGTTAAAATGTACACATATGTATGTATTTACAAACAAGGCTACAAGTGTATACTTTTGATTAAATAAGTGCTTAATAATTGCTTGTACAAGCACTTACATGCATATGCACTTATGTGAATACATATGTACATATATACACGCTCTTCAATAAACTAAATAAACATTTGAATTATGTAATGTTTACACACATTTTTCATTAGTTTCATTTTATGTACAAAAATATGTAATATTAAAAAAGGGTGGGAATACTATTACATAGTTGTTTCTAAAAACTTTACATCGCTTTGGTCATATGCACTTGAAATCATTAAAAAGTGTTTTCATTTTAAGTGGAAAATACAGCATTTTTATGAAATTTGGTAGTTATGAATCGGACAAAAAAAAAGTAAAAGGCATTACGTCGATGTTTTTAAAGTTATAGTTGTTTCATTGTGACCTTGGACTTTCGAGATTTGTCTTTATCTTTGTATACGCGTTTGTGGTTATTTAAAAAGCGAGATTTGTCATTATCTTTGTATACGCATTCGTGGTTATTTAAAAAGATAATTAAAATTTTTATAGTGGAAAATCTTGACAATATCCGCAGTTATATATAAACTTGTTTAAGTACCTAAAATTTTTCAAGCCCGTATACAAAATTGAAAATTTACAACTCGGAGATCTACGTCAATATAAGCAGCTCGCTATTTTCTACAGGGTCGTGGTCATCGGCACAGGCTGAAAGCAGTTGATATTTTTCAGCCAAGGACAGTGTTAACAAATACCTTCTATCCTCTTCTTCATCTTCTTTATTGGCGCTGTATCCGCTTAACTGATTTTGTCGAATTGTACATAGCTCATCCGTGGTTACTCTTCTGCGCCAGCAGAAGCCAATTAAAAATACTACGTGAAGCCGATCCTTTTTTCACGCAGTCTTTTTAACGAAGAGGATGCCTTCCTCTTGCTATGTGGTTTCGGTATCGAATACTTTTAGGGATAGAGATTTCGTTTCTATAAATGGTAGATAGGCTGAAGTGGCCGCTGAGCTGAAAGACAGCACACCTAGGCTAGACGGAATACTGCAATTATATAGAACCCCCGCTCCTTTTTATACCAGTTTGCCGAGTATATAAAACTTAGCAACTGCCGTATTCCAAACTTAGCTGTTGCGCTCAGATTACCTAAAAATTATGTATCCAAAAATGTGTGTCTCTTTCTGCCGAATTCAGGGCAATCAATCGTGGCAGCTTCGGCAGAAGCCATTGTGGTGGACTAAGATGCATTCTGCATGTCTGTCTATCCAGATGCATCCTTTCAATAATCATAGTAATTAGTGTCTCCTTAGTACGAGTTTGCAGAAAGCGAGTGGAATGCTTGTCTCCGTCCAGGCTGGTGAAAGTAGAGTCGAAGTATGTCACTATATCCCAGTACCCATACCGGGTTTTACGGCGGGGATTTGTGGCAGTTAGAAACTATTACCGAATTTATAGTGGCAGAGTTCACCGCCTTAGGAGTTGTGTATATATAAATCGGTTAATTACCAAACGGAATAAGTCAGCATTTTTCCGACATGCCAAATTTGATGCAGTTCAACAAAGCTCCTTCACACTTTTTGCGAACTAGGCAGATTAACTTAAATTCCAATTCGTGCTTCATCTTTGTAATGTGGCCTACAATTGAAGCCAACTTCCAAAGCAAACTCCACGTCCTTTGCTGACGAAGAAAAAATAATATAAGGTGTCAAATAGTTGCATTTTGTATTTGAACTGCGTTTCGCACTGCAATCAATCAAATTTAAAATAAAAATCGATTAATACGAAATTTTTGCACATCTATACAAAAAAAAAAACAGTCAAAAAGAATTACCAAATAAATCATTTAACACACTTCAATGCCATTCCAACGATGTCATTTGCGCAAGCGTGACCGCATTTGAGTCTTCCTACTGCTTCTCTTTTTTTTGCACTAGTAAATATGTACCAATGCGCGAGTAAGTGCTTAAGTTTTGGCTTCTTAACGCTTAAAGAAATTTTGATGATTTTTTAATTTGAATTCACACATACGCGAATAATTATGTATGTGAGTAAATATTTGGCATGGCTCACACTTGCCATGCTGTTTGCAGTACTTATAACCGATATTTACCAATCATATTTATTTACGCAGACCCAATTTAATGACTACATGGAGGCTGTGTGTGTTTGCCCATATTTATGTCAAGGATAGAAAGTTGAGCAGCTGAACAGCTAAAACATGAACACCGACGCGCATGCGCAAAAGACAGGAACGTTAATATTTTGTTGTAGTATGGCTGTAGTTACTCATTATGACAATTAAAAATGGTATTGGCCATAAAGTTAATTGGATAAGAGGCGCCTCGCTGCATAGCTCTGGAAGGCGCATAAAAAATATTTTACTGAACAAAAATTTTTTATACATTTATTTTTATTTATTTAAATGGGTTAAATGAGTGCTTTATAATGTATGTAATTCAATGCATCATAAACACAAGCTGACCAAAAGTGAACCCCGATTTCTCTCTTTCTTTCAGCCTCCGCCGACTTTCAGCTGGATGAAGCGGAAATCGCGCGTCAAAATCAGATTACACAACAAATATTTGCCAAGTACTTAGAGCGACGGCTTTTCCCACATCGCAGCACAAATGAACGCATACCCACCATTTCGGAAATACTACCCAAACCCTCCTCATCCACAACGCAACGCCCACGACCGCGTGGCTTCTCCTCCGCTGAAGCTTTCCGTAGTTTCCGACGTGGCGGTGCTACTGCGAAAACATCCGGACGCAAGCGATATGGCAACGGCGGGCAAAAACAAAACCAACGACAAAGAGGTGGTGGCAATGGTGCTCATCGTCAACAATTAGTCGAAGCGCCTGAGCCCGAACCTGAGGAACAAGATACAGAACGATCACTACAAAAGCCCGACTATTATACGGACATCAATGCCGACGACGTCGATGAAGTAGTGGCCGACGATGGTCAAGAATCATTGCAAAGTGTCGAATCGGAACAACATGATCAGTACTATAGCGATGTGTTCAATCGCGATCCAAGCGAAAATGAGATTGACAGCGGTAAGTGGTGATAATGTAAAATAATATCTACGTTTTTTGTAGCTTTAAAGTTCATACGCAAGCGCTTACACTAAATTTGCATATAAAATTCTTGATCAGCGTACTATTTATGTACATGCGACAGTGATCGAGTGGCTAATCGCTGATCGTTGCGTTAAAAGCTTTGATGCCTTGATACGGAAGATTACGAGTATAGCGCGCTCTCGATCACAAGCTCAAGCGTTAAGCTAACTTGGCAGCGCCCATAAATTTGCTGACAATTTAGTTGGTTATTTATTTAATAGACTGATATTAATCAGTAACGCTTGTCAAGCTTGGAATTTAAATGAACTGTAGCGCTTGAGTAAAAACTGCATAGCAAGCGAATGAAAGATGCTCAAAGACACATTGAGAAGCGAAGATAAATTAAAAATAAGCATTAACTAAAATTGATATATATGTCTCAGTTACTGACATTATAATGATTCAGCCTATACATTCAATATGAACCGCCTTGCAATATATCTATTATAATTTGTTGCTGCATGCTCGGCTTGAGCGGCTGATTTTTACAGTTGACAGCTTATACTCGGCCATGTCATCGTACGTTTTTCAGTTAAAAAATTCTTCAAAACCGCATCGAACATAAAAAACAAAAAGAAAACAAACAAAATCCATATGCAAGGTTAATGTTTCGGCAACGATCGCCGATATCTTTACTTACTTGCTTTGTCTTTTATCGCACTTTTGCGAACACGCGCTGACATTAAGTTAATTCTGCAATAAAATTAACATTCCTATAAGTATGTATGTATATAAAATCACGTTACCAGTCATAAAACGCAATGGTTGTGCTCAGCCAACGGCCGTAGCGCGACCGATGATGATGCGCCCAACGCGTTCGGTTTTGACCACACTGCGCTCTCAGGCTCCGGTGATCAGGTTTCGTCGTTTTTTTTTATTTATTTTCCGCTACAGCAGTACTAAGGAGTAGACTTTTTCCTCATCAGATATACATATGTATGTATGTACTTACGTGCGTGAAAATTCAATTCATTGGAAGCTGTAAGTAGCTGCTTAAAATGCTGGAGTATCGTTCACGCCGCCTCAAGGTCGACAAGAAAGCGCACTTAATCGCAAAGATAATATTCGGTGTAATTTTCTGGTTCTCAACAGCCTTTGTTATTCGATTGTATGCCATAAATTTGTAAATTTCAACTGCTAAGTGATTTATTTATAATTTCCGACATTCGTTTGCCCAAAAATCGGTGCATGTAATTGAACCCAAGTTTAATACTTTTTTTCTTGTTTGGGATAAGTATATGGCCGTATCGGTTGATCAGGAAAATATTTTCCAGTTTTTAGTGCGAACTGAAATTTTTTTATGAAGAGTAAGCAGTAAACGTAAACACTGTGCATACACAATTTAGTGGTAGTAAGTAGAGGATATTGTCGTAGTATATTTACAATACTCAATAATTCTTAGCCAAACAAAAACAAAACACTTTGACAGAATGCAATAAAATTGTACCGGGGGAGTAGTAGCTTGTCGGAAAGTCAATAAATGGGAGTTCATCGGAAATTCGCCATAAACTTCAAATTTAGGACTCCATACCGCTGTAGTGTAACTATCATTCAGGAAGGAGTCAATTTGGCGGCCTAATTGTAGGACGTAGTTTTGGAGTTGATCTGATAAGTCAGAGGAAAACATATCCTTGACTCTGATTATTTATTTGCCAGATCTTGATATATGGGTAAAAGGCTATAGCGCTGCTGAAAAAACAGCGTGGCGGATGAGTTAGCTAAGAATAGTAGACTCGCGGTTGTCTCGCTGAGAAAGTAGAGGGTATACAACTCTTAGACAAATGAGCTTCATATCAGCTCGGTAAGCGCTGGGCGAAAACCAGACTGAGGCATGAACACCACGAACTGCACTTTTTAAATATCCCTTAGTAGCTATAAGGGACGGACAGCCGCCTGTTATTTATGGCTTAGCAATTTAATACATGGAGGCACAACAAAGGACAATTGTTTATAAGTAGTCCAAAAGTGCATCTTTATCAAACCTAACGTAACCTCTTTCCTTAACGATCTTAAATTTCTGAGTTCTTTACTTGCATCGATCGATGGGGAACTTAGCTTCTTAGCATACCTAATACGGTTTAAAACATTTCGAATTATTTCTGATTTATGCATATATCGATGGTTTTCTGCAATAACGACACAATTCAAGAAATAAAAACTGCTACTTTTGTTTAGTGACTCATGTCTCTAATCCTTGTCTAATCTATGTCTAATCCTCAGTACTTACTGTAGTAATCCCAGCTACTTACTTTAGTAAGGATTAGACATGGATTAGACAATGATGAGAATCATGAGCCATTTAATAATAGTAAGGATTTTATTTTTGAATTTTGAATTGTCGATTTCCTAAACCTTCCCTCACCCAGCGTTGTAGGAAAGCACATTTAGGCCGCCATGGACCCATTTTAATACCCTTACATAGGCTTCTTACATTACTCCAATAACTAGAAGTTAACCCAATTTGTCGATGTTGTGATGAAGATCACAAAATCATAGACAATAACTAGCAGCGCTAAGTTTAGCTAGCCACTCAAGAAAGTAGTGACGGAGCGACATACATACATAATGTTCTACACTCTCGATGTCCTCTGCGGCAACTTTACGGTTTTCATTTGGTTAAAACCCTAAATTGGTGCGCTTCTATGCATCAGCAGTAGTTTTTAGTAACCAAGAAGTAGAGGTTGCACTAATCGGAAGTGTGGGCTAGATCACCTTCAATTTAATGTAGGCCAGATGCGTCGTGCTATCCTAGACGTCGGTTCTGTAGATCATTTTCTATAAAGTTTTTATCCAGCCAGGTTTGAAAGGCAATGTTCGCAGACAAGAAGGTTCTCTTACTTCCCATTTTCGATATACATAAATATCTGCATGCATGATTACCCTTAATGTAGATTTATCGTAATAAAATGCATTAATGCCTGCTTGACTATTACGTTAGATAGCTACTAAGTATACATGCACATTGAGACAAGAATAGATCAGCCACATTAAAATTCATTTTAACTGAGTTAAAGCTTGAAAAATGCAAGCAGGTTTCAGATTAGGTTTTCTTAATTCTTGAGAGTAAAAGGCGATAATTTGGAGTCTGAGCCATTGCAAGATAATCATCCTACTCATTCAAGTACTAATCTAGTAATACTAACCCATTTGATCTCCCCATAATTGCTTGTAGCTTCCCATATACATAAGTCCACAGATAAAAAGTGAAGTAAAGTGTCTGGCGTTGAGATTAAAGTCCCAATTATCATCATGCACGCTCTGCCATCTGAACTTTGATTAACTTATTCCTTCACTGTAGCTCTACGTATGGGACAGTTATATTATTCCTAGAACCCTCCTCCAGATTGCACCGCCACGTCAGCCTTCTGTTCAGAATGGCATCCAAATATGTATATGAATTCCACAGCACAACGCGCTTTGTGCTAAATCGTATAAAAGTTGGTGGTGGTGGTGGTGGTGGTCAGCGTACGCTATAACCTTAACCTACTTGCAAAGATTAAATTTTATAAAATCGTATAAAACAATGACAGATGGTTTTTAGAACTCATTCAACCAAATTGTGAAACTTCCTATCAATGCCAATACCGATACAAATAAGTAAAGTAAGTAAATAAGTAAGCGAGCTCTCGTAGAAAGTCAATTAGTCCGAATTTTTATCTCAATAAAATATTTTTTTTACTCAATGTCGCATATGAATTTTAAAAACGTTTAACGGTACTTGCCAATTTGTTAAAATTTCGTTTAATTAATTGCAATTTAAAATTGGTAACACATTTTATTGCTGCAAAACGTTTAAATAATTTAGCGTATTTAAAACAAGTACTTGACAGGCATTTTAAATTCATGAGTTTATATTTATTAGTAATTTGATGTCCAAAGAGTCGACCATTAAGAAAAAAAATTTTCGGTTTCTATTAATTGATCTAAAATTTTCAGAGCGAAAACCAGCTGAATCAGCAGCACATAAAAGTATTTATGGCTTTCTAGGTATTGCTAATTTTAAAATTTTTAATGTTCGCACGTGTTGCATTTTTATGCATGTATGTATGTGTGTACATATTCATGTACGCTAATATTTATAAATGTATTTTCGAGTTGTAGCACTGCAGTAAGAAATTATCGAGTTTGGTCTGCCAAAATATACGACCACACTTATAATCATATTTTTATTGCTTATGAATTATTAAATAATTTAATATCCCCATGAGACGATTACAAAATTAAAAAAAAATAAAAATAGTAGTTAAGTATAATTTAAATGAACCGAATAATCGAATAGAGCTATAAAAACTCAATATTATCTTGCTCCGCGAAGCCGAAACTTTTTGTAATTATTATAGGCAGAGAAACCGATGATTGATCATTAATAAACGGCCTTGTAATTTAACTGGTTAATATGTATGATATTTTTGTGAATAAACCGCAGAAATCGGCAAGGCATTATACATATGCAGAATACATGTATGTATGTATATGTTTAAGCTATTAATGCACATATAAATGCAATTTCCAATTGGATATGAAATTGAAATTCTTAGTCGAAAAATGTTTACTATTATATATATGTATGTATATGATCATATTGTGGATTTTCTTCACATCCTTTGGCTAGTGAGCTCCTACAACCTCGCTTAAACTCAGCTAACCAATATTCAACCGTTACAAACGAAGGAGCAGACTTCCTCAGAGTCCATCTCGGCTTTGAGATAGTTCGGACGTGTAGACCTTTCAGATCAAAGTATTGTATCATATAACGATGACCGATTTTTCCCATGTTCGCTAATTTGCTGAGAGCGTTCACGTTTTTGTTTAAAAAATAGTATTTAGCGCAGGTTATCAATTTTATAATTTAAGTGGTTGAAATATGGTATTATCGCAGACAGTTCTTTTTTTTTTTGAAATTACACGTATTTATATGGCCGGGTCGGGTCTGTACA